GTCGGGTTTTTAGGGAGGCTCACCTGGAACCGAAACGTACCTATCGTTTATTTTGTCTTTAAACGATTGTGCGCGCGTGTGTGGGTTTTGGGCCAGCTTGCATGCCTATTTATTGTGTGCAATGTAAAGTAGGGTGTCCATCCATCTTCGATAGTTGCACAGCTTGACCTGGTGTGGTTAAAGGTCATGAGCCTAACGCGTGACGCAGACCTAAACAAAATGGATAGGGTGTAATACACTACTCAGAAGGTTGCTGAAAATCCTTTGAAAGCCCATGACCGGTTTCGCCCTTCTAGAAGCTCATCAGGTAAGCGCAGTCTCCGAGTTTGCGTCAAGTTCATCTTCTACTGGAACCAAACTTGCACGAAATTAGCGAAATTCACCCATTTGCAAAGCAGTCGGGTTTTTAGGGAGGCTCACCTGGAACCGAAACGTACCTATCGTTTATTTTGTCTCTAAACGATTGAATGTGTTGCACCAGGCCGCCTCGTGTTTCATTTGGATAGGAAATTTTAGTGCACATGTTTTTGGGTAAGATAGTAAGTGGGACAGAATTTTGTCACGTGATTTGTGTTTGTGACGCGGACGCCCCAAACAAACTAGGCAAAGTTTGTTGAAGGATCAAGGAAGTGATCACCACAAGCCCTTCAAGCCCATAGAGAGAGGATTGTGGGTCAAACACAGATCTGTTGAGAACCGTCCATCGGTCTTTGAGTGGATGGTATTGCACTCAGCACGACTCACCACAACAGAGTGATGTCCGGAATTGATCAGTTCCTCTACGTTTCAGTAAGACAATCGGATGGAAATTATCTTGACTGATCGGTCGATGACTTACGAATGATATATCGTAGAGGACTGATGTTCCACAAATCCGATTCAATTCATCCAAAGCAATGTACCAAGCACCTAAATACGGTTAGAGTTGGAGGGATCTTCGGTGTGAATATGTGACGAATAGGCTGCCGACTTTCAGAATTCAGACCCACCGTTTATACGTGTGGCTTTTAGACAGAAGGCTCTATATGGAGTTTTCCACAACTGAACTCGATTATCCTTACCATTTCTACCAGAAGCCCGCATCAGTAGCATACTTTTGTTATCCATTTTCTAATCAAACCAGTCGTCGTTTGCCCAAGTGGAAATTGTTGTGAATTACGCTTCCTTACGCTGAGATTTAGATGGTTTAACTAGAACCGATACAGCGACAACAGCTCTCCTATTGGCACACTCAAGTACGCACTGATGACGTCTCCTCGAGTGTTGTCAGCTGTTTGAGAAGCTCAGCAAACACATCAACTGTCAGCTTCCGGTTGAGCTACAAATCTTCCGATACACTGCCGACAACCCCCTCTGTCAACAAGCACGCTTTTGGTTACATATGCTTTTTATGATATCGTATTTGCGGTCTTAATTCGTTTTGAACAGTTCATTTGATGTTTCCAAGTGTCGTCTTAAAAGCTGAGCTGCCATAAGCAAGTTTAAATTAAGGGACAACGTAGTATGGTCAGTCCAGCCCTGTTAGGTTGAATTTGATTCACTGATTGTATTCAGTTCTGTTCCACAGTTGTGGAGTTTCAACGATGAGAGGATTGGTGCACACATTGATTCAGCAGACATTTTGAAATTACGTCGTGCTCAGTAATGTTTTCAGTTTCCGACAAACAACTTCTCGGAATGCATTTCGGGAGAGGAAGAGGTATTTGGAAGACATTCGGATCAAGCAGCAACAACGCACTTACCACAATATTTGTGTGACGTAATCTCGCACCACTGCGAACGCTAAATACTCTGGAAAATGCTCTTACAAACGAACATCGAGTTCAGCGTTTTGTTACAATGCTGGAAAGCACGATTTCTGACCGCCGGAGAAATTAAAGGTTCATCGCATTAGACCCGGCATTGTAGAATTGGTGGGGTAGCTCACGGGAAGTAGCCATTAGCATTACGGAATAAAGAAGGAGCGCGGTTAAACACTAGACATATCTGCAATCCGAGTAACTCTGAGACGTAATATCAACTGAGCAGATAAAAATGCGGGCTATAAAAGGAGCTATAAACAAAAAGCAACACTGTAGTTGGGAAAAATCTGCAAAGAATTTACACCACTTTGTTATACCATTGTTACCAGTGAAATCTGTTCCTTCTGGTTGTATTTAATCGGGTATTACCTTCTTCGGAATCTGAATTGAGGGTCAAAAGACAGAGCTAAAGGAATTCCCGCAATGACGTCCGTTTGATTGTAAGTTTGATATCAGCTGCACCTTTAGGAAGCCCTAAATTGGTAGTCATTGCGATACTTTCTTTCAAGCCTCATTTTTTATTCTCCAATTTACTTGGAGTCCTGAGCATTCAAACTACGGGCCAGATAAAACTTCATCAATGTATCTACTGGGAACTACCATGATGCAGGTTAATTCCTGAGTTTTGTACCATTATCTCAGCCCTGAGCCATTTAGAACCCGCTTAAACAAATACTGCCTTTTTTATATGCGGGCGTAAGAGATATTCGCGTAGCAGCGGCTGTTCCCTCCACAATTCTTATCTAAGCCTGCAGAATGCGCCATTACTACAGAGGACTTGGCTTGTTTTGGTTTATCAGATATACGGTAATCTCTCGGGAGATAGATGCTAAATGTCCCTTATATGTCAGCCAAAAATGTTTTCGATCTTCCTTTTTAAATTAATATTCGGCCTTGAAAAACAGCTCCTAGACTTTTACAAACTCACACTTGTCAATACCTTATGCTGTTAGCTGTACAAACTGTATGGGCGTTTGTTATTTTCAGTGCAACTGTCACAGCTATAACTCTTTGCAGGTGAGCAGAATAACATACGTGCGTGAATAACAAAGGATTAATGCTAGGCGGACATGCGAAAAAGAACCTGACATCGTTGTCATAAGGAATCAGAATATAAAAATAAACCAAAATCATATATCGGCTACAAGATTCTATGCGTCATCCAGATACGTCATCTGTAGAGCGCCAACATACTCCAGTTGGCGGATGTCAATGGGAAACGCAATAGTGCGGTTTGTATTATACTGAATGACGTCTGGGAAAGTTTGTCGTGTGATTCCGCCTCATTTCAAACAATATAAAATTCCCACTTGTAATACAATAAACTAAAAGTAATGAATGGCCGTGTGTTGTCATTTCAATGGTAAATTCCTATGAATGAGGATGCAGCTGCATATCTTACCGGTTTGCCAAGTCATGGAAATGAAAACGGAGGATTTCTAGAGGCTTCTGTCACTGTTCCAACAGCGCATAGCTGGGGGACAGCTTGAAAAATGTTTCTTTTTCGCTAGGAGAAAAAATTTTTCCACTGTCAAAAAGTGAATTCCCAGAACATAAATTCCGGTCTCGTTCTACCTGTCCAGATCCACCGTCTTTGTGTTTCTTCCAATCAATAAGCGAAGAAGTGTGTTGATTAAAAGACCGAAGATTTTGTTTCGCTATATGTTCACCCCTTCCGCCTGTCGGTTTGAAAAACAAAAATGGCCACCATAAATTCAAGCTTTTGTAGGGTGTGGATTGTCTAATTTCTAAAGAAAAGCTGCCGAAGAAAGCCTACCATCACGAACCGACTAGGTGGTCAAACAAATTCAACCGCACCGAAATCAGTTGCTTTTGGGGGCACTCAACAAAAAATACCTTGGAGGTTGATGAATGACTGAATTTTTGAAAGTCTCTGTTAATGTACCAAGTTTTGGGAATCACAAAACTTTACAACGCGGAAAATCGCACCCAAGGAAGACACACGTACTTGAGCTCGAATGTACCAAGTTTTGGGAATCACAAAACTCTACAACTCGGAAAATCGCACCCAAGACGTACTTGAGCTCTTTGGTGAAGCTGTTTTTCCACTAGTTTTCGCACCAATGTACATTGTAGTAAGACGTAGGTGGTTGGGCAAATTGTGAGACCTCTGTTCAAGCCATTTTCGTTTGAGTGACTCTTCTCCTGCCTTGGCACAATTATTTTGGTGGTCTACACCAAAGGGGAAAACAGTAGAGTAGACTCAGACATGTGAATTTCTTCATATACAGCACAATAAGCTGCGTCGCTTGGACAATCTTGTTTGTGATCTGTAAGTTATCCGAGAGACATTGCGCAAATTTGGATTCATGGCTGTATCTGTTTATCATCAAAACTGTTTAGATGTTCTGTTTTTTACGTCTGTGCTGCTGCCTATTTTGTTTGTATGGTACGGTGGCACTGTACAAGCAGATGTCCGCATCAATGCAACAGTGGTAGTTACCACCTGCGGCATGTGGTAGTCACGGATCACAATGACGTTAGTCGCAGCGTGAAGCACATGAGTGTTATGACATTGCGGTGGAATATTTTGTGCAAATTATGTCAACGATGGGTATCGATCGAACGCTTGTGATAGACAAGAATAAGTAACAAATGACCAGCCTCGAGGCAGCGGTGTTTAGTGTCGCTGTCATTTTTGCTCTTTTCATGTTTCAAGACGAGGACTAACGGGCCTCAGGAGTTGACTCAATAGGATAAAGAAGTTTTGTTCGTCTGGTCTGAACGAGTAATGCATTCCAGGAAGTGACTGACTTTGGGGTCAGGAGCTGGAACAAGGACTACTGATCATACCTCCGCAAGCATTGGATGTCTGACCTGAGTATCTGGGTGAGTATCTGTGAGGTGCAACAACCAAGACGGTACCTCCATCACGACTACAAGCAGACGCACCCGACAGAGTTTTTTTCGTACAAACGAGGACGAGATGTAGAGGCTAGAGGAGACGCTTAATTTGCAGGAAGACAACTATTATCTGAAGTGCAGTAATTTGCGTCTTCGTAAGGTGCGAACTCTTGCGAAGTGTAGTGGCAATGCAACATTTGGTGCCATACGTTGACGCTGATGTCTGCAAAGTCTGCAGTTTACCCAAAGGCAGCTGCAGTGGGAGGACAGTAGACTGGGTGCAATGTGACTATTGTCATGTGTGACAGCATTTCAGGGGCATCGGGAACTCACTCGATACGCCGATATTCTTGTGTGACAGCCGCAACCGAATTTCGGGGTGAATTCCCTTAGTGAATTCGTTCAGTGATTCTTTCCCAAAAAGACTGCGTTTCTTGTTGGTCTGGGTGGCGGGTGCGTTTCTTCTGCAGTAAAATAATTAAACAATGTTTTCTGTTGAAGACAAGCTTTCTTAGATGTGCGAGGGGTTGTTTATGCACCAGTTGGATTGATATACACCGGGAAGAACTTGCTACGTCGTGACCAAAAGTGCATGACACTGCTAGCACATATCACTAGCTACACATTATCGATCGTTCCACAAGGCGCTCCATTATCTTGTGAGACATTCCAATTAGGCTACTAGAAATGCAGTTACCGATCAGAAAACAGTAACCGGTTTAGTAGGTTTACGGACGATATAGTGATCATGGGACGGAGGAGTTTAGCCTTTATCAAGCGATTAACAAAATACTTTCACATTTGGTCCTCTTAACGGCTTATAAACATTCCACCATTTGGAATGTTGGGGGTTGCATTTAGAATGCCTAAGCGCAATTCATATGGCCCAAAGATTCTCACCAGGTTTTTCTTGTGCTTTTGTTTAAGCGTGTGAACATTAAATGGCAAGCCCAAGCAGAATGTAATGAAGTGGCTGAGAAAAAGGACAACATAGCGGGGCTCCCTAGTCTTCGGCTGCTACTGTTAGACATTTCCTGATGAGTCAGTCAAGAAGTGGGCTGTTGCCCTGAGCCAGCACGTTGTTTTCCGTGTCCGTCGTAGTTAACTAATCCAGATGGGTATACGAATATAACGGAAAGGTGAAATTTGCTAAAATATCCATTGGAACTAATTCGTTCGCGGGGAGGCCTTTTTAATTAGCCGAACAACCCATACACATACACTGGAAGTCAACCATTCAACGGACAGTTAGAATACCATTTATCATACGAGACTGAAACCAGTCAAAACTGGGGCAATAGAACCGTGGCATTAAAATTATTGTTTTTATTATTGGCGAGTTTACATTGACTAATCACTCCTGAATTATCCGATACCTTCATTTACGACTGAAGTGAACAATGATACGCCGAAAATGGGTCCTGGCAAACCGCTGCAAATAACAAAGACTATGTCATGATTACACTAGGAAATTTATTCTCCTTGAAAGTGTTCCCCAAATACCGCCCCATAGCAAATTGGCGCTGTATTGTACAAGGTCAATCATAAGCCCGCATTCATTATACCGCGTTTAATTGGTTTGAACGGACGTAACAAAGCTTATTTTTATTTCTGATTTTTCCCAGTCGTAAGAATGCATCAAAAACAGCGTTTGTTTGGAATTTTGGGAAAAGGTTTTTGGCGTAAAAATAACGATTTCCAATAAGTTGTCAATTTTAAAATAGACTTGTTCAACTGGCTGTCAATATGTAATTCAGGATCACTAAACGAATACTTTTCAAATAACGAAAATGTCTTTCATAAGGACGTTCGGGATTACTCAGGAAGACGAGTATCCTTAATGTCTCTATCATTCAAGACGCTGCCTGAACAAAAACCGATGGATTCGCTAGTCGTAAAACCTAAATGCGAAAATTCACGGGTGTTGTGACTCAGCAACCTGAAAAACTTTATCGCACTTTCGCTCTTAATTTTCCCCAGGAACATCCAGACTTCCGGATTCAAATATGTCTAAATTTATGATAGGACATGTTTATTATCTGAGGCATCACTCAGTGACTTGGACACATAGTTGGCGTCCGTTGGCATGATTATACTAGCTTTACCACCTATACAATAATGATAAAAATTTGAGAAAGTTCATCAGAGGGGGCGAAATGATCACATGCATGCATCAAACCACATGCATAGATCGTGTTTTTAAGCATGACGTAAACAAAACTCTCAGGTGGTTCATTTTACAGTGCGTCAATGACATCCGTGAGACTGCTGGTTATATTCCATTTTTCTCAGTATCTTTTTGTTTATGCTATTTGAATCTGGACTTCGCTTATCATGACCAACCAGATCGGCTTTCTTTTTAAGCTGCTCAAAACTTAACGTTTTAGAAAATACTAAATCACGCGAACGTTAAAGCAGAATAGGTTGCAAGCTTATCAGTGCAACCTAGATTTCGGAATGTGGTAATTCGCTCACCTTTCAACAAAAGAGAAATCCAGTTGAAATTCTGCCCTCCAATTCGAGCCAATCGATTTTGGAAAGCTGAGAAATGTATGTTGGTAACCATTCGGATAATTCATAGTTGAATTTCGACACCCGCATAGAAATCGTTATTTTCACGCAGTACGTATTTTCCCAAACGTCCAACAATGTTATTCAGGGTGCATTTTTAAAATTGAGGAAAGTACACGGGAAAAGCTTATGTTGCTCTCGTGTATGGTAATTCACTAAGTATCATGACTGGAAATGAGAGTTTTTCTTGCAACGACTTTCCGTTTATTTTAGTCCACTGTGACGGATTTGTCGAACGCAGCGACGCTTAGCTTTTCCTACCCTGTTCAGGTGTTAATCCCACCACAGTTGTGGATATAGATAAGTTGTTTCTACTTTCGTGGATTCTTACAAGCGCATCAATTGTTTATGTGTGTGTGCCTGAATGGGTAGGTGTTGTGTTTCCTGCAGGCACAGAGTAGCCGAAGGTGTCGCCTTGAGCAGACTTATCCTTGTATGTGGTAGATTGCAGACGACGTACATACAGGAAAATTTATATTTCATAAGTAAACGATCCCCGAAAGGTGTCCAATAAAACGGAAAAAATAACCTTAAATAAACCATTTTTATTCACAATTATTTGGACTGCAACTGGATCATCTTGGACAAAATGCTCGTGTGCTGAGCTTATGATTGTTCAGTAATATCCTCTAGAACTTCCCTCGCGATTTACGAGTAAAGGTGACGCAGTTTTTAGTGTAAAATGCAATCTTTCTTTAAAATGTTGTTGACTTTTGAATAATTGGAAAAGAACAATTTACAATCCGAGATACTAATTTTGGTCCGCAAAACTAATCGTTCTATCTCAACTGGGATATCATTTTTCATTATTTTGCACACAGCACTGAATTGTTTTTCCGACTTGCTGAATTATGGTGACCAAAAATAGGAGTTCTTGCAATGCTAAGGAAGCTTGTCCTTTTTTCATTAAGGACGTCCCTTCTTTTCAAAACGTGCTTTATGATGCCGCAACCAATGCGAGCTAACAGAAACGTATGTGTCACTTTCTATTTTATTTTACATATGGCGTTATGTCTGTAAGATGCTGATTCAGTCCATCGGAATAAGCGCCATGATTTTGGCCGGAGGTCGGGCGAGGCTGGTCAGTGGTTGCCTTCGTTGCGGAAATCTAGAGGATTTATGTCCATCTAGGTGCCTATATACAGACGCAGTACTTTTGAAAAGCCCCATTGCGAGAGACATCATTCACTGTTACTCCCACCCGTTTGAAATGGCGGTACCATTTATCGGGTGTTGCCCATCAGCTACCGAGATTTTCACACACGGTGGGCCTCCGAAGATTTAAATGATTCATCATTCAGGACATTCGAGTTCTTTGGTCAAATACCAATCACTCAGATGTACCCTTTGTGATTTTGGAAAATAGTATGAAATAATGGTTGGCACTGGAAAAGTGATAGCACTCAGAATGGCAAATCCAATGTCATGTATTGCTGCTGTTACCCATCTGTCCCATAGCCTGAACAAAGAGACGCTCATAAGTGAGGATATCGACGGCTCTACCGAAATCAGCACACTCTGGAAACAGATGACTCCGTCTAAACAAAACTGCATTCCAGCATTACTTCATAAGGAGCGTGCTGGGAGCCTGCGGATGGAATCATAGTGTTTAGGCGTTCACACACGGGTGATACCATAAAGTCTTTGGAAATCCTTTGACAAGACCGAGGTCTGACTAACGGCGCGGCAGCCAAATAAGTTGATTCTTTCCACTCTTTGAACACAGGTTTTAACACCGTGTTTACCCAGTGGCTTGTATGATCTTCCTTCATCGATCGCTGAGAGATTGAAACAATTGCCTACCCATATTTGGAAGGAAGGGTCATATTGTAAACCATCGTGACTCATTTATATTTTGAGAGAAGTTCACGCGCAAACTAGTAAGTAGCCATGCCGTGGACACATTGTATGTTGCATGTCAATTCCAGTGTTAAGCCTGGGTACCGTCCTCTTCTAGAGTGAAATGTAGAATGATGTTGATGAGGTTGACTACTTAAGTCAATCCTTGTACATCACGTTGCCTTTTGAGCACCGCAATAGCTGCGGTTCAAGCATTCTACGAGTATAACGCCTGACCGTCAGAATTTGATTGATATATATTTTATACCCAGTTTAGCTTCACTGTAATTCCCGCTTGTTCAGGGGATCTCGCAAGTGACGACTGAGTTTTGCCAGCCAGCTAAACTATGTTTCAACCCACTGAGGATCTTTTGAGTGTTATTTCATCGACCAAAATTGACAACTCACCTGACTTAGGAATAGAAGCCGCGTCCCTCCGATGTTCATCCTTGTGAATCTCCTAGATTGTCAATAACACTGTAAAATCAGGACTATATTAAGTGCTGACTACCCACACCAAATGTATGTCGCCTGCACACAGCAGCATTTAAAGCCCGAAAGTATTATTGCTGCAACGCCTGAAGTGATTTCTGGTTTTTATGTTCTTGTCTACTTTCCGCAGTGTTGGTAATGTAGTTCCCGTCCTTCTTACTTCTCTATGTTCATTTTGGTGAAAACAACGAATCTTGGGACCTTAATGTCATTCGTTTTCCTTGCTGTCCTAACGAGCTTTGCGGGACTCACCGCCGACTAAACGACCGCCTAAATACATTAAGTTCATCTCCACAACACAGACGCTCCATTTTCTCCAACTTTACGGCGGTTCTGTTTGTGGACGAGATTTCCACAACCAGTGGGTTTGGAAAGCGTGCTTTAGTATAGGCCAACCTGGGATCCTCTGAAGGCTCAATTGGTGATCAAAGGATACTGTAATGTAAGCAAAGTAGTATTCGGACCAAGAGGCACTGTGTTTCTTATGCATTTCCACGTTCGATTTGCCATTTATTTATTGAAGTACGCGAAGTTCTGACTTCAAGCTCCTTATCAGAAGGCA